TTGGAGGCCATCGCTAGTAGGTTGGAGGCCATCGCTAGTAGGTTGGAAGCGGAGGTTTTGGGGACTTGTCAGGTGGCGCAGCTCTGCCGCCGCAAGAGCGCTGCTGCCGTAGGCAGGCCGTCCAAACGGGAAACTGCGCGTCACATGACCGACGTAGCCAGCAACCAGAGCTCCCCAATATAGATAGATACAGACGGGTCCCACATACATGTTTAGATGGGATTCACTTTTTTGTCTCGCTGCCGTATAAGAAGTTTCCCTTAAAGAAGGCCTTAACTATGACTCAAAACATCTCAAAACTCAATGACTGCCGAGGCAGTGCAGTCATTGAGGGCAGAGAGCCGCTTCATCCGGCCGCCAGGCAATTGATTTTTCATAAAATAAGCTGTTGTCAAGAACGGAACTGAGACCCAACCCGCTGAAGGTTAAACCGTCGAACCGTCAATACCCTTCCAGGACTCCAAAGCGAGCGCCCAGCCTGATGACCTGTAGGTTTCTACAAGATGTTTTCTCTTCTCACTATGCATACCGTGCCCTCAATGCACTCAGGGTATGGCCCTCGTACAGATATGCCAGTGGTGCTTGTACACAGATCGACTTGCATCGCTGGGTGGACGAAGCCAGAACACCTCCGAGGAGACCTCGGAGGCCCAATTCGGGTTCGAGAGCGTTGGGCGATGGCAAAGGGTGCTGGCGGTGTATCAACTGCGGCGTTGACAAAGTAGCGGCAGACTTCTACCTGAAGGGTGCTTCCGTGTGCTCTTATTGCAAAAGTTGTTCGGCCAAGACATCTGCTGATTCCGAAAAGACGCTCCGTGGAAATGCAAGTCGTCTTGTCCGCAGTGCAAGACGCCGTTCAATGCTAAAAGGATGGATTTTTGATTTGGACAAGGAAATCATTTTTAACCTGCTGCTGCAGCAACAAGGAAGATGTGCATACTCAGGGGTTCAGATGGAGATCTGTCTGCCGCATTCCAACTGGCGGATGTCATTGGAGAGGGTGGACAACAAGCTGGGGTATGAGCCAGAAAATTGTGTTCTTATTGCTGCCGAGTTCAATACCTCCGGAATGACAAGCAAAAGGGTGGCAATGGATGAGGAATCTGGATCTTCCGAGTGGTCTATGGAGAAGGTGCAAAAGCTGCCAGCAGTACGGCTATTGAACGTGGATTTGGGTGGCTTGTGGGAAGCGATCGAGGAAGCTCGATTCCGCCCTCGAAGGCTTTGGTCCAAGCCCCACATTGACCATCAACTGGAGCCCCCCTGCAGCCTTTTGTTGTGCTCAAGTTGTAAGCTTTGGAAGCCTCCAGATTGTTTTTACTTCCCTTACAAGATTGCTCGGGGATCCCACTTGTATTGCAAGCAATGTGAACGAGATCACAGCATCGCAGATCGAACAACTTTGCGGGGCCACATCCTGCAATTGCTGAGAAGCGCCCGCAGAAGACATAAGCGTGGCAAGTGGCATGGAGACTTCGATCTTGATTTGGATCATGTTTTGGGGATGCTGTGGTCTCAGGGAGGGCGCTGTTTCTACTCCGATGTCCCCCTGCGTTTCGCTCAGCTGAATGTTGATTGGATGATTTCACTAGAAAGGTTTGACAACACCAAGACATACACTAGACAAAACGCAGTTCTTGTGGCGCTGGAATTTAATACACCTGATCATAGCGGTAGGGCAGTTGCGTCTCAAGTGCTTGGCTCCAGCCAGTGGTCCAAGAGCAAGGTGGACCATGTTTGGGGCAGTGCAGCCAGATTGGTTGAGGTGTGATGACTGGTACAAATGTGCAACCAAACCAGAAAGCATGGAGCGCAGCAAAAACGAGATGTGGTTCTTCCCACCTATGTGCAGAGCCGCTTGTTTTTTGAAGGGTTTGGAGTCCGGAGCACCAATATAGGTTCCTGCACCCCAAACTATCCCAAATTGGGGGTCTTCCAAACCAACTTCGGTTTGAGACGTTCTTTGCTTGCAGGTCGTGACCCTCGTTTACAGAAGCTCATCACGCTGGCCGTGCCCCTCACCGGGTCCTGGTCCTCCCGTTGGGGAGTCCCAGTACTCAGATTATGCAGTTGTTGGACCTGCTGGAAGAGGAGCCATATGGAAACATCAACAAACAAAAAATGCCCCATTGGTTTGAGGGTTCTCCCTATTTTGATACGCACAAAGGTATTCAAACTCCAAAGTTGCCTCCCTGTTACGCAGGGCCCAAGGCTTTTTGAACCCCATTGGCCCACAAAACCGAAACGCCTTGCTGGAATGAATGAATGCCCAAACGCAGGTAACAGGTGACGCAATGGTTTTGCAGCGCTCCTGCCAGCAGAAGGAATGAATCACAATTTTCTGAACATTTTAAAGGCCCCTCTGAAGAAGAATCTGTTCCATCCTGTTCAGCTTCGGGCTGTTCATGGCATCGGTTTATATCCACATCGATGTTCACAAATGATGCCAAGGTCAACTATGTCATGTGGTCTTGCCGGCTGGATTTTGTGGGTTGGGATGGCAGGATGGATGGACAAGAGTTCATAAGTTTGCCAGAGCACATACCACTTGCCGGTGTTATACTGTTGTTCCATCAACAGGAGAGGATCCATTTGGAGCTTTTGGTCCATGAACATTCTTCGTACGTGGAGGGGATGGTTATTGCGGACAAGGGATGTGTTCGCAAGGACAGGCACCAGTCCGTTCATGACATGCAGGAGTCTAGGGTAACCCAGAACAAGATAGAAAGATAAATCCTCCCAACATGTCGTTGTTCGAATCGGACAACTAAAGATTTGACACTTCGTTGTTTCGACCGTGTTCGACATATTTTGTGGCGGCATTGGGGATGAACTTTCATCTGGCTGGGTGGAAAAGACCATCGTTCTTTGCAGGGAGGAACAAACAAGATGTTTGAGCAGCTGCTTAGTACTATAGCCGCTATAGCCTTCCAAAGCCAGGCCACTCAATCATGTGACCTTGGTTAACCATCGACGCAGGTCAATCGCCCTGTATTTGCTGGGTCGCCCCTGTGTTTGCAACGCCAGGCCTGGTCCATGGCGGCGATCTCGATGGGAAGTAGCTTGCCGGCAGGTTCAGCGAGACGCGGAAGGACTGGGTTTGTTTCGGCGTTCCTTGGGGAGTCACAATTGACTACAAAAGGTTTTGACAGATGCGAAGATATGGCCAATTTGTGTTCAATCAATTGTGTTCCTTCGGAACTTTGTTGGGGCAGGGGGGTCTTTTTGGAGATGTAAACAAGAACGAAGGTAGGGCCATGGATGAAACCTGTGAGATGCTTGATGCTTGTTGATTTCTAGGTCTCAAATCAATCATCCACTGGCCCCGATGGGGACCTCATGGTGATCAGGTGGGGGCACTCTGGGGCAAGCTCTCCGGGCTGTGGATTGGGTTGGAACGAGACAGAAGGCATGGAAGATGTTATTACTCCCAAGAAAAGTAAAATAGAACCTGAAAACCACTGGATTGTAGAGGAAAACTTCGGTTACATGATAAATGTCCCAGGTGTAGTACAGTGTGATGCTTGTTCAAAGTCCAGCATACATCATATTCATAAATCCTTGCTAAGCTTACCTGGTAGAGGAAGCTTCATGTCGAAACCTACGGACTGCTATTTGGAGAAAAGTCCTATTTGTGTATATGTGACAGCTTTGATGGCGCCTGGCATGTGAGATGTCCATGTTGCCTCAGGTCGGAGCAAGCAACTGCTCGTTGGAGCCTTAACACCAAAAACAGATCACCAATATTTCACCAAAGAATTTATGTTGTTATTGTTTTTCCTGCTCCGTTGCTATTTGACCGTTGATTAGCTGGTCGGTCGGTTGATTGGTCGGTCGGTCGGTTGGTCGGCCGGTCGGTGGATTGGTTGGTCGGTCGGTCGGTTGGTTGGTTGGTGGTTTCTTTAGAGACAGCTACCACCATGTCCATCCTGCGCGGAGCTCCTGGAAGCCAGAAGCTGCTAGGAATTTGTGAGGTGCACAGTACTGATACCCGCCAACTTCTAGGTGAAGACCTTGTTGGCCCCTCCAGGATGGGTAGCCGCCACCGTAGACAACGCTCGGTTTCTCAGGATCCCGTTTGCGAGGCCTTCACCACTAAAGCCTGGGAAGGTGTTCCACAGGCACTGCCGTGGGCGGCAGCGAGTTCTGCTGGGGTGAAGAGCTTGAAGTGTTGAAACCACGGGCTGTTGAAAGCAATGTCCTTTCACGAAACAAATACTTGATCATTCTGGTATGATGGTGTGGCAGCTAAAACAGGGCAGAAAGAGTCGAGTGGTCGGGCTGGTCTAGCCCAGCGGGAGAATGCAAAGGAGTGAAAACTCGGAACAACCAAGAAAAGCGGACGCTTGTGACACTCCAAGCTTACATGGGCAGGGCGCAAGGGGCAGCACAAGCACGTTCACAACAGCCTGCCTCTTTTCGGCCACAAAGGTCTTAATTATAATATATGATTGTTTCTGCAAGCAATGACCCCATGCATGGCAAGGACCTGCTACATCCTGCTGCCAGAGTAGCATCATGCCCCGACAGGACCTGTCCACATTCGCATGGTCCCTTGCAGTGGGGGTGCCAAGTATATACAGAGGCATCCCGTGCAGGAGGTGTATGAACAGGTTAGTTTCTGACTCACTAACAGGGACGTGGAAACCCATGTGTTTGCAGAGGATAGTTGTGATCGAAGGACCCATGTTTATCCATTGTCCACTTCCATGAGATGTGCGTCGTTGGACTCCATGAGCTGAAGCTTTGATGTCGTGACTCAAAGCCCACCTGGTCACATGACGTCACCTGGCCGTGGCTCAGTTGCAACATGATGTTCCCATGTTCCCATTTCCATCCATTCCTATCCCTCTTTTTGACTGATGATTTCCAGCCCATTCGTTTTGGAATTCTTGAAAGCCACCAGCAAGATGGGGGACTGCAGAAGCTCTGGTTGAAAGGAAGATGTTAAAGGATAGACAAGAATATCATCTCATCTCAATTGCCTCGAAGGAACCTGCAAGTTCTCAAGATTCCAACACACTCACAGTGGGAGTCTCCTGGTAAAAGCACTACCCTAAGAATCCGGACCATCAAAACCAAGGGTTTTGAGGGTACCAAGCCCTGTTATAGAGGGTTCGACCCCCACCCCTTCTATGGAGGGTCCGGACAACTTCACCTTAGCGTGGAAACTTCACCTTTGCTTCTTCTCGTTCTCCATGCAGCTATACCTTCGGTGCACGTTCTTCTCGTCGTGGAGCAGAGTGTTTGGATGGAGTGATCGAATGAGGCGCTCTTGGTGGAGAGCCCCGCCTTTGATGTGGCCATGAGGCGCGCGTTCGTTTCGCGTTCGTTCGTTTCCGCGGAGCCAAGGAGCATTCTTGAGCCAACTTGGACGCCTCGAAAGGGTCAAAGATGTTTGGCTCCCGAAGCGACATGAACCGATGCTGGGCCTCAGGACCATGGGAAGCGTGGACGTCACGTCGTTCTCTTGAGAAGCGAACGAACGCGGAGCGCATGGCGCCCATCTCAGGGTGTCCATGGAACGCCTGGGCGAGTTTGGCGTGCAGGAGCCATCTGGGCGACGATCTCGCCGTGGGGGAGAGTGTACTAGGGCATGGTTGAAAAGCCAGTCGCAGCAAAGTGGAAAGCCTCGAGAAAATAAGAAAAACAAACTTTTACATCTCAACGTTGTTCATTTGTTCTTGTGAGTGAGACACCAGCTAGATGCTTGTGATGATTAAAGATGATTATAAGCAATCATTCTAAGAAGTACCTATATTATCTCATCTAATCTCTATTATTGATTCATCCCTTGAAGAGTCTAGTCGAACACTCCAATCACAAATCCAGACAGCTTCCGGGGTTCCGTGCACCAAGTGAGCAGGGGACAAGGATGTTCTCCTGAGCAACAACATGCAAAAACGGGCAAATACAAGCGATTTAAGTGCCATATACTGTACATTATTTGGATTTATTTGGTTTGGAACCTCTCCCCTTCAATTCCTTCCAAAAAGGATTGCTAGGTAGACCCGAAACTGGCTTTTCAATTTTCGAAGCAGCCTAGACACCGGCCGCGATCGTTCCTTTGATCAGTCCCAGCAACTCCGAAAACAAGATAAGTTTCCCCAAAAGATCAAGGAACCAAATGAAGAACTGCTCGGACTATTCAACAATCATTTGGTTCCTAGATGTTGAGGGAAACTTAACCTTAGGTAGGCGAAGCCGGCATTGCCAACCCGATGCTGTGTCTTTCTTGGTTTCTGTTAGGACCTGGCCATCTCTGCTTGGTCCGTGACCAAGCTCTTGCACCCAGACCGAAGACCACTGCTTACGGTGCGGCGTCCCGGGTGCCTTACGGTACGGCACGGGCGATGGCTGGATCCATGGCATTGCAAGCAACACCCAGAAGATAGAGCACTTTGCACAGATGAGCCCAGGATTATACGTAGGTTTTGTTCCAATTCTTGATTCACGCGCGTTTTCGTACTCTTGAGTATTAGTAAGGGCGCTGACCTTGCTGATGCTGGTATGTTTCAGTTTTTGGGGTGACAGTTGGACAGTTGCACTTGCAAGTGGTCTTGATGATGCAGAAAAATTTGAGCCCCTCTATGAAGCAAGCCAAGTAGCTGACTCAGTAGGTAGCAGCCAGTGCTGATGCTTCTTCGCAGCAGAGCGGTGTAACTGGGACGACTTGAAGTCACTGGTCTTTTACGGGAAATTGACATCTTTGGTAGCGCCGTAGGTCTGGACACTCTGGAAACTCAGTATGGATTATGAGTCGTGGGCTAGCGGAAGACGTTCTTTTTTTGGTGCCACCCATAGGACCGGGTTCAGCTTGGGACAATCTCCAATCTCAGACTGGGAGGGGGATTGCCGCCATCAGGCCATCGCGAAGGAAAGTACGCAGAAGCTCAAGGACCTGTCACGCTCGGTGCCCCTGCGAAGCTGTTGGCCGATCCAAGCAATTCTTGACCCATGGACCCTTGGATCGATCAATCAAGTGCTTGAAGGTGCCTTCACCAAGGCACCTTGCACGTGGTTTTTCAGAGTGCAAACTTCAGGTTGATTGTGTGTTTGGGTGGGTGGGTCAAAGAGCAAATCTCAACCAGCTCAGGCTCAGGTGAAGCTATACAGTTGATCCACCTGTTGCAGGGCTCCAGAACTTCCAACAAAGCTCAGCACCTCAGTGGAGGTCGTCTCTAGCTGCTGGTAGATCATTCACACTTACATAAACTTACCACTCAGCTCGGCAACTCCACCTGTCACCCTAACGGAAGGACGTTTTTCTGCGCCTTCAGGTAGGGGCTCGCTCACCCGCTCCCACCCCCCACCCGCCCCAGTTCACCCGGGGGGCTCCCACCCGCATCGTGATGCAGGGTCGGACCGGGCCGAGCCTCGGACGGTGAGGACTTTGGAGGACGCAACATCTCCAGCTTGTCCTGGGCCGGGGGCCAAGCGGGTTGGATGAGGGAGCGCAGTGATGAGGGAGATGGAGATGGGGAGCAGCCTTGCTGCTTGTTCCAGTCTCAACAAGTGGTTTGAACAGGTGTCATGATTTACCAAGTTTGGAGGGTTGGATAAAACATAATAAGACCCACCGACTGTGTTCAGTTTCGCTGGATGTGGGAGCTCTTTTCGAGGCCGTTCACTTTCAGAAACCTAAGATATAGAATTACTCTATTGTGAGGGAACGATTGTCGACTTTGCAGCCTCCGACCGGTGAACATCCAAAGAGTTCGGGGAAAAGAAAGAAAGAAAGCAAAAATGGAAAAAGGAAAGAAAGCAAGCAAAATACACCATTTCAAGCTATTTGTTTTTGGGGGCCGGGGTCTTATTGGAGCACCGGTTTCCGGGTCTTTGGAGCACTCCCACCTGATCGTTGCCGTGCGGCACGGCCACTGCTGATCCCAAGAGATCCACATGCGCGTGCGCACTGCGCTTCTCACGTGTTTGGCTCTTAGCTTCGCCGCCTTTACATTCATGGCCCAATGGCAGCCGGTTTCGACCAAAAGGGCGACCAAATAAAGAGGTTTGAGAAACTGAGGAGTTGGAAGAAGAGGCCCTGTTCAGTGGGTTTCTGAAGGTTCAGTGGACTAACTCACGACCCAATCAGTCGTGTGCTTTTGGACCAGGAACTTTGAGGCTGTGTATCCGCAGCCAGTTGCGCCACGCTCAATGGCATGGATTTGGGCGCTGTTCCTTGCTGCCTTGCTGCTCGTGTTCCTTTTGTGTTGTTTTAGTTTCGAGCCTTGGGCTGCCGTCCTCGTCGCTGTTCTCGTTGTCCCAAGGTGGGAGTCACGCATGATGTTCAATGGTGGGTTTTCTGTATGAAAGAAGTCCCTGGCAAGCTTGTCAGTTTGGAGGATGCTTGTCAGATTTCTCTTGTTTGGTTTCCAACAAGATCACAGGGCAAAAAGGCCTATATAGCAGCCTCTTTTCGGGTGAAATGCGCACTGAAGATCGATGGGCGGGCACATCCTGGCTGAAGAAAGACATCCTGTACGTGGATCGGAAGCCCCTCAACTCAAGTCAGTGGTGCAGGTGTTTGTTGGACAACTCCCTGTGTTTGGTGTCATTGTCACCAGGTGTTTGTTTCAATGTCTCCTGGGGTCTCTGGTGTCATTTGTGCACAACTCCCTCAGGACTTGAGGAAGCTTTGGGCTGAGTGGCGTGCAGTTCATGCACCTCGACGGCTCAAAGTCTTTTTGCAGACCACACCCGGCTACGACGGGTTGCTGAAGAACTTTGTATGTGGCTGGGCCGAACATGAGTAGGAGTACAACTTGAGAAGAATGACTTCACACCCTGTGACCTCGCTCGCTCTCTCTCTCTCTCTATGCCTTCTTTATATGTCCTCCAGTTGTACACACTTCATCACAAGGCTTACTTCAAGCTGTCAGAGCATCCGTTTTTCGCTTCGAACACGAACAGTCAGAAGTTGGTCCATCTGGGACCCGTGGATCTCAGCAACCTGAGGTCACAGTGTATCGGTCGATGGAGAGGTTCGAGGCGATGGCTTTGTTGAAGCGGGTGTTGATGGTCAATGGTGTTGGAACCCGGGAACATACGGTGACTGCTTTCAGGATGTTACTGCCAGTTTAACATCAACAAAAACTACGGTAATTGGATGTACTTGGCGAATTTTGAGTTTTGACTGATGTAGAGGTATCTCCCCTAAATGGTGAGGACGCCTGAGTTTGGTTGCTTAGTGTTGTGCTTTTTGTGAAACACTGCTGTATTGAATAGCCACTGGACAATCCGACAGACGATGCGGGGTGAAGAAATTCACTCCTCCCAATGGAACCATCCATCAATCTTCGCATCTTCCATCATCTTCCTATATATATATATGTGTGTGTTCACATTGCTTTGCAAAGATTCCACCATACATTTTATATATATAGATGATACTATCATATTGTATACTACTGTACCATAGCTCTGCTGTTCAACAAGATGTCATGTCCAAACAGAACTGTTCAACAACTCTTCAGAGCGGAGCGCATCGTCGGAGCTCCTCTTTCCGACCCCTGGCTCCCCAAACAGCTGGGGGGCGCCAGTGCTGAATCAGTGTTTGGTGCTCCGATGGAGGCAGCATCAAGGCTGAAGAACCTCTCCTGAAGGAGGACGGTAGCATGGAGGAGCGGCGCGGGAGCCTCCGGGAACCTCACGGCGCGGGGAGGAAGAAGAGCGCGGTTCCGAAGAACGCGCCGACTTATTGGGCGTCAAATGCAGGAGATTGGCAGTGCTGAACATGTTTGGGACCTAAAACAACATACAAATGGAATGATGATGATGATGATGATGATGATGAAGATGAAGATGATGATGATGGGCATTTTCAGATGGCGGGCCTGAATCCCTCGAAGTCTTCAATGGGTCAATCTCGTCTACGGTCTACACCTTTTGAACAAGCCAAGAATTTGACAGGAAAGTGCTGTGGCCTTGCTTCTGGACAGCTTCTCGGCCTCGACCTAAAGAGCCTACATGTTCAGTTTCAGCTCTTGTTCGTGGAGGATGTTGGTGTGTGAGTGGAGATGTGGAACAACTCCTGCCTGCAATCCTTGCTGCTTGCAATCAGCAGCCCAGGATCGCTTTCCCGCTTCAGGGTGCCAGATCGGACCACCCAACCGTCTTCCCCCCGAAAAGCACGAGCCCTCAGGGCTCACGTAGCAGATGTTCGGTGGTGTCGAACTCGGTGGTGTCGAGTGACTTGGAGTGACGCAACGATTAGATGTCACGCAGGATTTCTCTCGTCACTCTTGTCTAATAGTCTAGTGATATGATTTTAACTATGATTTTATATGTCATGTGATTTCGGACTTTTCTTGAACCTTTAAATACTTAGGATGATTCAGCCAACTGACTACTTTAGTAGTTGTTCAAGTGAGTTGAAGAAAATCTATGAGTTGCGTGTTTGTTCTGAAATGGAACGAGCCCCCAGAACAGTCATATTGTATGTTCAAGTGTTGGTGTTGGGGGGTACTCTTCGGATTTGGAGACCAAGCAAATCCGATATAAAAGAATATGAAAAACACGAGGTGTGTTGTCATTGTATTTACTTTCCCATTGGATCGATTGACAACAGTCTTCAGCTGCTCCACTTGATTTTAAAAAAGAGCGGGACGAGGAGAGAGTTGCTTCCTGTGTGCCAATTGGTGCCACCATTTTGTTCAGCGCAGTTGAACGACTGGAGTCCTACTGTGAGGGGGCCACTCGAGACACCCACGTGCCGGTGCTCACCCGTCGACCTCCGTCGACATCCCTTCCGTGTCGTGTCGTTCGACCGAGGTTTGACGGGCTTTTCCCTTTGGACCTCTGGCCACATTGGCTATGTCACCGCTGAGCTAAGCGTCTCGGGAAGATGTTATGTCCCAAAAAGAAAATGCTGCGCCTCCAATTAAGCCACTCCCGGAATCCATTTTCGCGGGCTCCTGGTTTCCAGAGCTGCATATAGATGACACCATATACGTGCTCTCATGGAGCTGTAGGTAATGATCATGCAATATGGGTAGAGATTCAGCGACACCAGATGTCATCTACTATTTCCAACGATTTCCTTGACACTAGGATCGAGTTCTGGGGGATGCGTCGCTTGTACGTGCTATTTCAGTGGATCCTACAATTTCCCACTTGGGGCGTTTCCAATTGAGAAAACCAGACCAGAAAAGAAATCCAATGGAACTGCCATCTACCTCGGCTCGACCGTGCCCTTTGTTCAATCCGGTCTCTGTGAGCTTTGAATCAGCAACCCCACCAGGGAGTATCTATGGGCTGTATGTTTTTTGGGGGTGGGCGGTTTGGAAGAGGTGTTGGTGCAAGGCAGACAGAAGTTAAGTGAACTAGTTCTCAGCACCCAAGACTTCTGCAGACCTCCGACCTCTCCAGGTTTCCAGATGCGTGGGCACGCACCCCAGTCGGGGGAAGAGATGTTCGTCAAGGCCAGATGTTCGTTTGCAGGGACCTTTCGTGATGGAGATTTGGAAGATGGACCAGCGATCTCCTTGGGCAGAGTTCCAGAAAGTTCATGGATGTTCTTCACAAAGTGATTGAGACAAAAGGCTGTAGATCTGGATGGCACAAGTAAAAGCGGAATTGCCGGTTGGCGACACCATGAACGGGTCAACTCATTCTGCTCTGAGCAGAAACGCCCTGTGGCATGCATGGCGCAAGGGTCAATCGCCATTTCGTGTGGTTGATGGACAAAATGTTCTGCTCCAGTCGAGATGTTTCAGGGATACCTGATCCGCTGTATACAGGTGGAGAGCGGCTTAAGGTGCTGATGCTTCTCAAATGGTCTGACCATGGTTTGGTCTTGTCACTACAACACTGCTCGATTTTGACTCCTCACCTTTCGGATGCCCAAGTGATCCCTGAACCTGGGCCGAATCTCCTGGGGGTTGATGGAGCGCTCTTTGGACCATCTACCCTCCCTCCAACAATCAGTGGACAACGGCCTCCTGGAATTGCCTGAAATGCTATTTTTCTCTACAAACAGGGGGTTGTCCACTTCCATCTTTGTTTCAGCCAGTGTAATATTCCACACGCCTATGTCACTCGCCTCTGCCAGGCATGGGTGAAAGACCCTCCCAAAATGCCCCAAGATGCTTGGCCGGTTCGTGCAAACCATGTTCACCCGAACGCGATCCCGAAGGCATCTCCCAACATCAAGGGGCTCAGATGGGGGAAAGACATGAGCAATCGACCACGGGATCCATCCATCCATCCATCCATCCATCCATCCATCCGTCCATCACCCTGGTCGCCAACAGTTGTTTTGCTTGGCGATGGCTAGTTTGGGAGGCTTGGATGGCTGGCTGCTGGAGAGATCAACTTCAGTCGATTGAACCTGACCAGGTCAGATGAAATCCTTGACCTTCTTGGCTTCTTCTGGACCAAGTGACCCATGTGTGTTCACTCCTTCAGAGCTTTGCGATTCGTGA